TCAGTGTTCACACGTGGGTAGACGCTGTACGCTCAGATAATTTACAGTAGCACTTGCACACCTCACAGTGAAAGAAGCGGATGCGGAGCTGAGACAGGGGGCAACTTCGCCACACGCAGAGGAACGCAAACTCAAGGAATACAAACGTGCCTTACTGGAGCTGTGTGTCTTGGCGAACGAACTGCAGCACTACAGGGCACTAAATCTCACCGCCATCCGCAAGATAATTAAGAAGATAGACAAGAAGGTAGGGTGTCAGCGATACCAGTAGGTGTCTATTATGTGTATTACAATTGTCAAGTCATCGATGTTTAACTAAATTGTGTGTCATCGGTACATACTCGCAACGGCTGCTTCGCAATAACTAGGCCAGAGGATGCGATTCAGAACCCCCTACACAATATACGACACTCTGGCTATGCCACGTGCTGGTGCTATTTTTATGTGGACAATCAAAAACGCAGAAGTATTTTATTTCAATGTTTAAAAAGTCAAACGCTAATCTGGATCGATGTGTGTTGTGAGTACATTTTGACTTCAAGTGTTTTCCTGTGTATTGTGTACCCTTTGAATCTAATGCCACTGTGTTGATGTGACTCTGCATCCCCAACACTGTATTTTCCCTCCACCACAAACTCCACTCACCCAACAGTCCTCGGCAGTCTGATTTGTTTGGGATTTATTTGGACATAACTTGTTGTGTTATTGAGCGCCTACATCGATAGGTGTACCTATCACCTTCCAAATGTCTTACCTACGGTATTCACTTGCCGTCTATTCTGTCATTGCGCATGTGATATCAGGGTTATCTCGACCCTCCGCGGAAACAGCTTGTCATGGAGGAAGTTGCGTTGAGGCCGTTTTTCATCAGCACAAGGGTCAATGATATGACCGTTCACATATCCTTTCTGTACAAGGATGTCTTTTTCGAGGATATAGAGACAGGCCTGGCGGAGCGCAAATCAAAGTATGAACGAGTGGCTGTATATGATATGGATGCTCTATTGTGTAGATACTCACATCTCATTTGGAAAGTGTTTCATTGTAGGGTTTTTTCTTTGCCATATTGATTTTGTGTGTGAATGCGTAGGAGCTGAGTGCAGAGTCTCTGCCATTCATGCCTATTGGCAGTGTCTTGTGGCTCTTAGTACACGCACCAGAAGTATGCACGATAAAATTCTCCGTAGGGAGCAGTATTCTCTCTCGGCACCAACCGCAACATGCCTCCGCACAAACAAGACTCCGCATAAACAAGACTTCCTTCGGACGCGTACTTGTATAAACCATCCGCATCTCGGATTGACTAGATTTGAAACAATGCTCCTCTCAAATTGTAGCGCCTTTAATATTCCGCTACCTACACCATATATACACACTCTCCCTGGAAAAGGGCGTCACGATATTAATCGACCTGACGTTGAACTATTTCAATATCCCTTGCATCGTACATGTGCATGCACCCCTGCTCTCGGATACATATATAAAAAGTTACTCACATTCTATATTTCGACCCATTCTGATACTCAGGTTGGAGCGGAGGAGGGTCATTGCGTTGCTACCCAATGAGTTCCTCAAGCTTTTCACTGCGTCTCATCTGATTGCTGTCCTAGGTAAGTATGCCCACAAACGGGTGATCAAACACCATTCGTGCTTGAAAGGGGCTGCGTGCGTAGTGACGTACCTGTAGGGTAACCCTGCATTGCATTCTGACACAGTCCTTCTACCCGTTTGGCATCTTGGTTGCCGGGCGTATATGATGTGCGAGAAGTAAACACTGTTGCAGGAATCACCCATTCGGAATGGTTTGGATTCTTAAATTCTCACCGACTATACTTGTGTTACGACGCACTATTTGAGCATGTCTGGCGTGGACCAGAATGCATCCAGTCAGTATACGGTTATTTTCGATGAGTAGTTTTGCATTGCTTTCGACTATATTGAGTGACTGTGCGCAGAAGGAGTTTGATGATCCTTCGATGGGAAGTCTATATAATTTTAATTTATACTCTAGTCGAGCCGAATATAACTATCACTCGTTAAAGTCTTAACACTCGCGCCAGACTTGAGACTGGAAGTATTAGATGCTGTATATGATATTCAAGCGTTTGCCATCCCACGCTTAATTGAATACGCAGTGATCGGCGTGTGCATGAAGGCATTTTGCGTGCACTGGACAGACGCAAATTAAAATACCGGTTCGTTGTACTGTACATGTCGCACATACCGAGCACATATCGAGAGACATACCGATCTGGTGTAATTAGCCTCGGAAGCCGCCCAAACTACGCTGTCGATCTACATAATAGTATGCGCTCCAGTGGTTCTCGCTCATGCTATATCATTCTGGTCACTCTGTAGTCCGCTTGGGAATGCACATATACTACGATTCCGATACGAACGGGCTGTCGTCTCTGCTGACCACCTTAAGTGACGAGTTGCTCGTGGGCGCTGCTATAACGACATGTAAGTGACTATGGCACATGCATCACGCTACAAAAGGGCATGCTTCCGTGTGTAGATATACATTGTCCTGCGACCGAAGGATCTTTCTGTCAATAGTTTGATCTATAAATAATCTCATTGCGTGCAATCGCGCGATTCTTGTGCCAGCTGATTGACGTTCATTGAACTCTCCCGTTGTATACACACCCACTGTTATGGACTCCTTCGCTATCCCGCTCGATGTGAGGTGTCTGGTCGCCAAACAAGGACCAACGGTTACGGGATCAATGCGTTTATTGTGGTCTATGGGTTGATCCAACTGTCATGCCCGCACTCTGTACATAACCTGCCTATCATTTTAGCCTAATTCTGCACATGACACGTCAATCACCGCATGCTAGATTTAGAGCTTCATCGCTACACCATCCATTATCCAGTGACCTGTGTTTAATACAAAACTATGCTGTATAGTCACTCACATTGTTCAGTACTGCATCTACCCGTTCAGTGCTGTGGTTGTCGTGGGGTATTCCCTTCAACTCCTTTGCCATGTCCACACCCGTGTTGACGGGCGTAATTTTCTACATCGCCACAAACGACACAAATCCGGAGGAGGCTTTTTCTCAGACTGTAGTGCTAGCACTCTATCAAACCATCGCTGGGTTTAGTGGTATGTTGTCTTGCACTTTCATTAGACACGCCCGCCAGGGGTAAGTTCTTTCCGCCGAGTCCAAAGTATCTAACGCGCGCAGGGATCCATTGATTTGTTGATGCATACAACTACCGCCATTTATAATGTGAAGCCTAATTAGGATAGAATGGTGTCAATGTTTATCCCAAGATATACCTATGGGACCACACTGAAAGTATGATATCCACAGCACACTACCGTCTAGCAGTACCTCAGTTGTTTCAGAATACCTTATATTGTCTCAAACAGTATGTACCATATCCCATACAACGCCCGTTTTTCACCTGCTTTTTCACGGACACAATCAATCTCATTGAGTACACGTACAGCCTCATCTGAACACATTCTTGCCTCTAATTACACAGGAATATTTATGATCCTGGTACTGCATTACTTTAAAATGCGCGCTAAAGTGTCAGCCGCTTTCAAACAAGCCGCCGGCTACTTTCAGATACGGGCCCTGCGGTTGCTGTACGTTGCCTTCACTATATTGACGTTGCTGCTGATGTCGACAGTTCCGAACTCGGTGAGTGCTAAGGCGTGTACCCGTAGTTTGTATGTGCACTGCGAGACTCGAACGTTTTGAATTGCAGCTGCACTTTGGGCAACGCTACATCACATACATATCAGCCATAGGCTATGCATGAGATTGCATACGGGATTGAAGCCATCGACTAAACAAACTTATCATTATATGCCAATGTGTCTATGGTGGGTAAACAGCTATCGTCGGATGTATAGTGAAACTTGCTCGATATCTGACCGAGAAATCACTCGACCCCTTTTAGCTGGGAGGTGCTAAATAAAGTCGAAGTGGTTCTCACGAACTAATTCAATACCATGCGTTTCATCCCTCGACTCAGGCACTGCCATTCGTATCGACGGGGTTAGTAATGCCGTATACCAGACGGATACAACCGATGGAACCGCTGATGCAAGTGCTGGTGACAAGTATGACATTGTCCATACATTTCAATGCTATATTACACATTTTCTTTGGAGAGTTTATCATAGACACATAATACTATCCGACTGTCTCTAATAGTTGCGTGTACGGGCCGGAATTGTTTGTATCTTAGCCACGTATCCGGTAGTTGAGTTATCTGTTAATATCGTATAGTTGCTGTAAGTTGACATACCATGACTTCCTGTGTGATGCTGTCTACTTCATCTTTGCCTTGAATTGTTGTTCGGACTACTGGTAGAATGAGTGCAGATTATATCAAATACGATCTTACTCAACAGGCCGCATGAAGCATGCATGGTATCCTTCACAACCATTAATGGCCAGGTTCAACTCATATACCACACCTATCCGACTCTGCAGGTATAATTGTCGTGTGTAATTCCTTCCCCATCATTATGGATGAGGAAGATCAGCTCCTGGTCAACGTGGAGAAGTACCTGCCAGAAAAATTGGCGGGCGCGCACAACCCGCTTGCTATCTGGTCGCTTGTAAGTAGAAACGAAGCACGCAAAATCGGGCTTGCCAACTTTTGAATCTTTCTGATATTTTGCGGGGTAAATCTCCTCAGTTGTATTACGTATACTTGGGCAGAAACATGCAAAATGTTTGTATCGTTATACATCGCGGGGAATGCAACTCCTATACACGAATGTATGGCATGAGGATGTGAGTTATGGTAACGGTTAGCTCTGCGTCTTCTCTATGGGTGCGCAACTAGTAGCATATGCTTAAAACCTTACGCGAACAGGAACTCAATCTTATTTTAAATTTCATCAGACACTTTGTTTATTGATACCACCAATATTTCGAATTTTAATAGTGACGCCTACTACCTTTCGTGAACAACTGAACTGACCCCGCCGAGTATATGCATGTCGATCAAATGTATGCACACTAATCAACTTTGCGCACCAATAACACGTTTTAGGAGCTGTGCATATACTTCTTCTGCAAGTATTGCGTACATGACCAGCTACAAGTCTAGTACGCTGTCCACCCGCTCAGTAGATGGCTACTTTCATCTCAACATCTGTCTCCACTTGCCCTTGCAACTCTCAGGCGTTTCTCCTCGGGACCTTGCTTCTCGTAGGATTAGAGATTGACAATCAGCTGGAGAAAAGACTCCGTGCCGCGTAATGGCAAACAAACTACGACGCGATCAGGTCATCGCTGTCACAATGATCTTTCTGAACTGCCTTCGCGCTACATAAAACCCTAAATCAAACAAGACGTTCTTCATACACGGTGAGTGGAGGCTATACACCCTCATATCCTGGTATTTGACAATAAACTTGGTAATAAAATAAGCCACCCTCATATCCTGGTATTTGACAATAAACTTGGTAATATAATAAGCCACCCTCTCCATCAGTTCTATCGCAACCACAATTTATAAACAACAATACCGTATGCTTGTGTTGTTTTAAAACAGCTCCCGTCGTCCGTGTAAGGTCTAATCGTGATTCTCATCTGGGTGACATTGCGGATACCTTTGAGACGAATTGTAGCTGCTCTACTAGTTGTCGTATGCGAATGTAGCGTGCGTGTATGTCGTACAAGCACTACTACATAGTTCTTGCTAGTGCAATACCCTTGGCACAACTGTGTAGCTATATTGTATATGTTCTCGCTATTAGACTTGACATTGGAGCCTTGTGTACGATCGTTGCGCCTATTAACCCAACGTGGGGTATAGGCTTCCTCCATTGCTACTCATATCTATATCTCTCGCCAGCTGTTCCTGTTCATGCATCTCACGATCGTGTTGAATCTGATCACGCTCGTGGTCGCACACGCACGCCGCATTCTCAATGCACTGCACCAGATTGCGATCAATGGCCGCATACCAACGCGAACGCTCATCGCGCGATTGCAGGTAAAACGAGTGCCTTATACGCGTCTGCTGATTGGTGAAGCTGAACACAAACTTATCGCCACCGAGAGGGTCCGAGCAAACGCTGTTCTCGTTCATGATGCAGCTGTGCAAGCGTATGTACTTGGGCACGTTTCGGCGTACATCTGACTTCTTCTTCTCGGTTCCAGGCTTTAAAGGGTAGAGAAGCAGGCATCTTTCAGAGAGGTCTGCCCAGTAACTAACCCATTTGCCGGGCGCATTGTCGCCATCGTTGTTGATTCGCTGAGTCTGCAGAGACCATGACAATATTTATCGACGTTTAGCAAAACGATGGTAGTTGTGATTTCAACACAAATTGTGCATTCGCCACTAATCAGTATGTGATGACATGAAAGTTCACAAATATTAGACAACTTCAACATGAGACTAGGTACATCCACATACCTTGTACGATACATAGCCTTGCGTGTTCTTCTTACTGGATTCCTTCGTGCTGCTGGGGCGTGTGATAGGCTGTGTCCTCGAGACGTGGTCGTGCGAATACGTCTGCACACGCACAGGTGTGGAGTGTGTGTGGTAGAGGTCTCTGCTGTTACGCTGGCGGCCTTCCAACACAGCCGAAGACGATGCCATGCCAGGAATAGACCCCGTACGTACCCTCGGGGGAGGAGACGGTGCGCGTCGCTGCGTGGGTAGAGGCGGTGCAGAAGGCTCCACAGTCATATCCGGAAGCGACTGGTAGTGCATTTGCTGAGGATTGTGGTAATGCAGTCCATTGTTGCTGTTGCTGTTGTGTTCGAGCTGTAACTGTCCCAAACGCGACTTCAAGCCTGGATACAGACCCGCATGGGTGTTGTTAGCCCCCATATTTGGGTCACTACTCGTGCGTACATGTTCGTGTCCAGGACTATGTATCTGTTCATAGGTAGGCAAAGCCAGCTGAGGCGCACTCTCAGAACTATCCTCCGACTCTTCGTCATCACTGAACTCCCCGTCGCTTGGTTCATCCGCAGGGGTGTGTGCTTGAGTCTCTGCTGTGAGATAGTGGTGCTTGTGGTTGTCGTCGCTCTGGTCCTCACATGTGCACTTGCAAGGTATCTTGACTTCTTCATCACCATGGTACGACGACAGCATGCCCTGGTGTATCAGATCAGAAATTAGTGACAAGATTCGAGTCATGGTCATCAATACTAAAATTTATTCATCCAAAATACCTGGCACTTCTGATGGGATGATCGCATATCACGTTGACTAATGGTATTTTGTATATCTGTTATTCTATATCCACTATGCGATCAATTCGAGAACAATAAGGTGATTGTCAAACGTAAGGGAGAGCATATGCATGAAAATCTGGGGCTTCAGGATTAAGTGATATATACAAAATTATCAAGTGTATCAGTGCGACAATCGCGTTACCAGCAATTAGAATTAATAACAACACTAAGATAACCTAAGACACCCTCTGTCACTTTTCTAAATCCAACAAAGGGCGATACATAGGTCACTTATTATTTCATGTATGTGTGTATGTGTGTGTGTGTG